GTTTGAAATAAACCGTTTTACCAACGGAGACCCCCTCTATTTTTTTATTTTATTTAATAGTTACCGTTGGAAAACCGTTCCATCTCAAATATTGAATGAACTATAAACGTTTTTTGTTTTCTATATATACTTTTTTGTCCAACGGTAAAACTTTTTACACAACGGTTTTTGAGAGTCGTCGCTATTGACTTTTTTTGTAGAGCACTCAAAATAGTATAACTTTGTCCGGACAAGTAAGGGTCTATCGTCGCTACAGGAAAAGTTACAGGCGTTCCAAGGAAGTATACTTTGAGAAGCCTTTTTCCCTTATAGAATGAGATAGGACGGTTATTTTACAAAACTGACAACACTTTGACCGAGTAGTTTTTTGTGCTGAACAAAAAGTGTCATATAAACATCTGTCAAAAACCGCTTTTTAACTTCACTTAAAATGCCACGTAAGCTACGTAAGAATATACGTAAGAGGAAGGAGCATTGAAACATCCAATAGTAAAACTGACACCACAACAACAGTTGCAACAACAAATGATGAATGACCCCACTATGTTGCAACAAATGTCAAGCAACCCTATGCTTTTAAACCGAGTTATTGGTGCACAGAGTGGAGGTTTAAGAGCGGCACTTTTAGCGAAAATGGCAGGTTATGGTGGAGCTGCAGACGGAACAGCTTATAACCCTCAAAGTCAAATGAATTTGAGTTCACTCAAAAATCAAATAACAGATGTCAAAAAGTCAAACATAGACATACAGAAACAAATAAGTGAAAATGAAAAGAAACTAGAATACGACAGACACACAAAGAAACTCAATGAGTTAAACGTAGAGAAAAAGAAGAAAGAAGAACAACTGAAAGAACTAAGTACAGAGGAATATGCGAAAAAAGTGTCAGAAAAAGCAGCAGAAGTAGCAAAAATGGAACAAGATGTTATAAATTTGAAAAACCATACTACTCAATATAAAGTACTGAAAGATGAAGAGATAAAACAAAAAGCCCTGAAGACATATATGGATAGCGATGAGTATAAAAAAGAAGTTGAAGCAAATGTAAAGGCAGAAAAACTTTTACAGTTGCAAAACCAAACCGTACAGTATGAAAACTTAGCACAAGAAAGTAAAAATAACGACGCAGCCATGCAAAAGGCAATGAAAAGCGCAGAATATATAAAAGCTAATAATGACTGGTTAGATGCCCAAGCCAACGCTAAAGCAGCCCAACTTATAGGGTCAATAAGGACAAAAATACAAGCGGATGAAGACAGTTCAAATGAAGCTTTAATGAATGCCGACTTTAAGAATGCCTTCGAAGCTCTTCATAGTAAGGTGAAACTAGTGAACGACTTCTCATCTGGAAAGAAACTGAAGTCTGAAGGTTTCGACAAAGAGTTAAGAGAAGTAGCACAAAATATGACGAAAATAACAGATGCAGCAACGAGACAGGCAGTTCAAAGTGCCTATGACGCCGTTAGAGCAACTGTTGTGGAAAGTCAAGAAAAAGAGTTACAACAGACCAAAACAGACCTAGTAAATGCTTTCTTAAGAACGAAAAGTCAGGTAGGACATTATGCTGCAGATGGAACATATGTGCCAGCTGGTGGAACTTATATACCAGCTGGTGGAACTTATATACTAGCTAGTGGAACTTATATACCACCAAACCCTCCAAGAGAAGCACCTGCACCAGGACTACCTAGAACATTTACATCGTCACATGGACACAGACGCAGGCATGCACCAAAACCAACACAACAACCAACAGTTCAAAATCCAGCACAACAACAACAACCAACAATTCAAAATCCAGCACAACAACCACCTCCACAACCAGCACAACAACCAGCACAACAACCAGCACAACAACCAACAGTTCAAAATCCTGCACAGCAACAACCACAAACAGAGCAAGGACATAAAAGAAGTAGAGAACAAGGAAACCAAGAATTCTTAAAAATGCTTAAAGAAAAGTGTGGTTTCCCAGATACTGTTGACTTTAGTGACAGATATAAAGAAGCTATTAGAAAGTTCAAGGAAGGAAATACTGACCCGAACCTATTTAGCTTTATGGCTCAGCACCAAATTAGATATAATCTCAAACCTGGAAAATACAAGCTCGCTAAGGGATATGATTTAATAGCATATCATCCAAATGACATGACTGAATTTACTCCGAGATATTTGATGTCAGAGCTAAATGATGATTCAACTTTCGTCATGAAACGCGTAAAAAATAGAGACGGAACGAAAGAAGAAAGGCTTATGAATGCGGATGACGTAGATAGGGAAATTGTTGAAAACGGTCTCGGAATATATGAAATGCCAGCAGATGAGGTACAAGAAACTCAACAGGAAGAAGTTCAGATACAACCAGACATGGAAGAAATAGTTCAGCAACAACAGCTAGAAGAGCCTGAAGGAAACGAACAAGTCCCTCCTTTGGAAACTAACTTCACAGAACTAGATGAAGATTTGGAACAGCCGAAAAATCTTGACCCTCAACAAGAGTATGCGGAGAATATGGAATCTTTCCAAGAGTCTAAGAAAAATTCGGCTGACATAGTAGAAGAATATCGAAAAATGTTCGCCGACATACAAAAGACTCCAACATCAGATGAAAATATTCAGCAAAGAATGGAAGTACTGAAAGAAAATGTACGCAAATACAATAACCCTTTTTACTTACGAGCATATAACGTTCAATCTTTGGATGAACTCGGTGAAAATAAAAGGTTAAATTTCAACAAAACATATAGAAATGAAACATTGTTTAAAGTTCATTCAGAACCTAACCAATATGGAAACAAACCTACTTTTGTTTCTGCAGACGATGGAACTACAATGAGATGGGGTCATAAAGCTAATCCGGATAGGTGGTTCATAAACTTACAACCTCAATTCCAAGAAGTTGTAGACGCAATGGAAGCGAATGGTGAACGAGATATAGCTGGTATTTTCAGCGCGGCTTTAATGCCATTGAAAGATATGAAAGATGCAGATATTTTGAACCAGTATGAAATGAACATGGCTGATGGAAATATAACACCTGACGTTCTAGAACATTTATCTCAAAGAACTACACAGAACCATAGAGATGGTATATTTGGTGAAGAGTTTAGAAAGAAAGTTAGGGAGAGAGAAGGAAGAGAACCTAATTGTACATGACCTTGCAAACGAAAGTTTGCAAAATGTCATAAAAACTTACTTTGCAAACAATGAACAGAGAAGGGATGAATATTTAAGAAACTCAAATGGACAGTACCAGATGAAATGTTAGTATTGAAAAACATGTTCCTTGACAAAATAAAACCAACTACAGAAATAAATGACGCAAGACTGGAACATTGGGTAAAAGCTTTCCCATTCACAAAAGATATTATTGGTTACATGGAAAGAAAACCAGAATGGCTACAAAAACATATATTTGGAAACGAGCATATTCCATATGGACAAGCTCTGTTTGAAGAGCTTGAACCGGAAACTCAGGAAAGAGTCATGCAAACAATACGCGAAGACTCAAATACAAACTATGACAAAATCTTTCTAGGATATATAGGTTACCTGAGATGGGCGACCAGAGCCCAAAAGGCAAAAAGGACATGGGAAATTTACAACATACTAGGTGAACATGAGGCAAAGATGCAAAAACTCAGTCAGGAAGAAAGTAAAGCTTGGTCCACGTGGGTTTCTATTATGACATATAAATCCAACTATTCTATATTTTTACTCATATGAAATGTACGCCGCTCAGAATATAACGCCAACAGTTTTGGATGCTATGAATGGAAATGTTTCCGAATGGTATAACGAATGCGACAATGCCATTAGAAGGTCAGAAATAGTTCCTGGAACTTACGAATATACAACTGCTGTTTCTTATGGAAACGTAGGTGAGTTTGGAGAAGGTTCTTCAACAACAGTAGATATTGCTTGCGACAGGTTTCATATAATTTCTATTGACAACTCTTTCTTATACGTGGAACAAGACATTGAAATAAAACCTTCTGCCAAGTTGTCTGACAAGAAAGGTTGCAATGGAATTTTCTATGTCGGATACCAATATGCTCCAGAAGTTTTCATGGGATATAAGATATATTCTAACTCTGACTTAGTTCAAACAGTAACATGGGCAAACTATGAATGGTTCGCTTTGAGAAACTCAGTACAACCACAAGCTAGAGAACAAACAGACCAGTATGCAACTATTGAGAAAATAAGAAGACTTGACCCTAACGTTCCAGGAGTTTATGTTAACCTTTCTGGACAAACTGCAGCAGCAGTAACCAAAGTAAAACTGAAACTTAGAGTTCCTTTGTCATCTTTCCTCATCTTCAGGTTTTTAAGATACTTGCCAAACTGGGCAGGAAAAATTTCTATCGAACTTACTCCAAGCAAAAATAACTTAGTCATTGCACCAACACAAGACCCATTCACTCTTACGACTAAAGGTGGAGCAGTTCATTCGACTTTTGCAAAGACAAAGTTGACTTAGACTTTGGTTTCTCAAACCTCAACACTGAAGTAAACTATTATTTCAATGCTGCTGGAACTGCTTGGGACCCAGTTAAGTTCACATGCGAAAAATTTGAATGCAAGAGAATAGAAAGCAGACTTGCAGTCTATATGTTGGACCCAGATATTTCAAATGCTTTAGCTGCCAAATATATTGCAGTTCCACTTATGTTCCCTATACACCAAATATCTGTCAAAGACTTTGCAGGTGAAGTTGGAAACCAAAGTGCTGACCCAGGTGCAAGAACAGATATTGCTTTAACAACTGCAATGAAACATGCAGATACTATGTTTGTACTGTTCAGACGAACTATAAATGACTATTCTTGTTCTACAACCCTGGTATTAAATATCATATAAACATAGATGGCAAATATTATCCAAGAGAAGAATATTCTACAGTTGAGGATATGAGGTCATACAACTTGACATTAGATGCTATGAACTTTAACAACAACTTCACAACAACCATTAACCCTGAAATGCAAAGTTCTATTATGCCATATGTGAAAGTATGGACTCATACAGGAGGTCAAAAAACTCAATATACAAATGGAGACCGTTCAAACTTTTGGCTTGGCATTCCATTTGCTGACTCAGAAGACTTTATGGGTGGTATTTCAACTGTTGGTACAGTTCAAATACAATATACTGGTGACAGAGACGGTCCAGATGAATTGAAAGCAAAGAAGTTTACAAAACCAATAGCACTTTTCACGGAAGATGCTCTTTTGAAGATTCGTTCGATGAAACCTGCTGGGGCTCCTCAGATTGGCATAACGACAGCTTCCATCGAGCAGATTTTGGCAGCAGGTCAGTAAGTTGTTCTTGAACTGACTTCTCTCCGTCAAATATTGACAGTACGCCAGTTTTGACATAATATTGTATTATAAACTTACCTTTAGAAATATCGGTCAGTTTTGTTGTTATATTTTTGTCTGCTTCAAGAACTTTCACCATTTCGTTATACCAACTTTCTTTGCTTTATGAAAATATTTTGGTTCAGCAAAGACTGCTATTCTATAACATTTTCCATTGTTTGTGTAAAGAACTATTCTGTCAATGTATTTGTATTGTTTGTGTGTGTAAACTTTGTTTTGCTTCAATTCGAAGAGATACTCAATACGTCCATCTTTTTATTCTAAGTAAAATGTCATTTCCGAAAAATAGAAGCGTAAGTGTTTCAAAAGGTTTAATGGCGGTGGCAGATGTGAAGTTAAATTCACCAACTCAAACAAACAGTCAAAGTGTTGTTGTCAATGTCAAAGAAAGAGATGTTGAAGTGGGGAAACCATACGAAGACGAAGATGGTATAACAATTGTTCCTGTAAAAGAACCAACATATCCTGAAGTTAGCAGAGACTTAAGTTCTGTTGCAGATATTCGAAACGACTACCAACAACTTAAAGACAAACTTAAAACTCAGGAGAAGATTTGTCAAGCTTTGGTATAATGTTAAACTTGGTCGAACACAACCCTGTAAAAGTGAACTCATATGTCATTGCACCTCATGAAGTTTTGAAAGAACTATTGAAACTTTTGACAGAGGCAGACGATATAAACATCAAAGAAATAGAACCCGACATTAGTTGCTGTGGTGTTTCATATAATGTCATTGACAAGATATACGTTATGAAAGGAGGTGAAACGTTGAACTTAAAATATAGTTTCCCAGACGTCATAAAAATATTTGACGACCACAACATTTCATTAAAATTTATTTGCTAAGTAAATGGCAGAAGACATAATGGTTTATACTATTACGACTAAAAACCCTGAGTCATATAATTCTATAACAACAAACTTACAAAGTCCTCAAGGACGATATTGTAAACTAACCTTAAACACAATGACGACTAAAGCCTGTTTTGCTCTTTTGACACCAGAAGACTTTATTGTTGTGAATGGTAAAAAATACTCCTTTGAAGATACTTACTCAGATATACCACCAACAGGTTTTGTTGACTTATTTAATACTTTAAGGACGGATGTAACATGTGCTGCAACTAGAGCAGGTTTCATTATGTTTGGATGTCCGACTGAGTTTACTATAAACGATATGAGCTATAATACAAAACTTATTTCTGGTTTTTACTACCAACAGTTTCCTATAACAGGAAAAGGTGTCATACAAGGAATGTCTATTCCATTGACTTAAGCACACCATCTTATATATTGTTTCAAACTTAGGTTCAAAGTGTTATTCGAATGTCGACAGAAACTATTATGACCAAAAGATACTTATGCGTATAAACAACACTTTCTCTGCTGGTTTGCCTATTGTTCATTCGAATGCAGAATTTTCAGCTTAGTGAAACTCAAACACTTTGCAAATAACTTACATTAGTTGACGCAAACTTTGTTCCTGTAAAACTTTTATGTCCTATGTATTTGTCAATGACGGCAGAAAGTTTCGAATTGGAAGATGCAACTGGTGAAAGTATTGTATTACAAGAACAACTTCAACAACAAATAGCTCAAGAACAACAAATGCAACAAATGGAACAACAAAGTCAAGAATAAAAAAAATATTTTTTTTATTTTTATAAAAATGTACAGAATAGATGTTTCAGATTTTTATGACTTCCAAGCATTCAGAAATATGTGTCCATTTAGAGACTATAACAAAGCAGTCGAGAATTTGAAACGTTTAGTCATTTATGTTGACTCTGCCCCAGAATGTTATGTCATGAAAGAATGGGATGTTGTCTTTAACAAACCAAGAGCAACAATAGTTCTGAACAAGAATGTAGACAGAAACTTAAGAAAATAAAAGTCGTACAAGTTGGCATGAAGATGTTAGATGCTTGGGATATCTTATTGTCAAAGTTAGAAGATTTTTCAGTTCGAGGTATAAAGTTCTATACACCTTCTCCAAACTTCTATTCTATCTTCACTGGATATAAATACGAACAAGTAGAATGGAAAGAAAATATTATAGAAGCTTGGTTAGACCATGTCAAAGAAATTATATGCAATGGAAACGAAAGGTTATGAGTATATCTTATGTTGGTTTGCAAACATCTTACAACATCCAAGTGCTAAAAATGAAACTGCTCTCATTATAATTGGAAAACAAGGAACTGGTAAGAACACATTCTTTACAGATATCTTATGCAAACTGTTAGAAGGTTATTCGAACCGAATATGACAAACTTAGAAAACATCTGCGGTAAATTTAACTCTTCAATAGAGAATATGAAACTTATAGTTTGCAATGAACTTCAAAGTATAGATACAACAAAAGTTTTGAACTCAGATGCTTTGAAGAGTCTTATAACAGACAAAGTTGGAGTTGTTGAAAGAAAGTATAAAGACCAAAGAGTTTGTGAAAATGTTGCAAACTTCATTATGGTTTCAAACAATACTGTTCCGATGAAGTTAGAAAGTTCTGACAGAAGATATGTAGTTGTCAGAACGTCAGATTCTCATATGCAAGATACAGAATATTTTGACGACTTAGCAGAAACTTTGACATCTGACTTTTACAACCACTTGTTCTCATATTTCATGACATTAGATATTTCTAAGTTCAATCCAAGACAAATTCCACATACCGAAGAGAGACAAACATTGTTAGAAGCAAACAAGAGTGTATATGAACTGTTCATAGATGAAACTGACTTTGTGTTTAGATGAAAGGTCATTGTACGATTCGATAAACAATATTGTCAAGAATATGGTTATATGGCAGCTCTAAACGAACATTCTTGGCAAATGTCAAAAGTCTTTTAGATGTTCAGAATGGTGTATATACAAAGAAAAATTTTTCTGAGTAAATTTTAAAAAAATATTTTTTTATCCGATAGAAAAGATGACGAAATTCATCTCAGTAAATAAGTACATGACAGAAGTCAAAGATAAGTAGCCCATTCGCATATTTGAATGTTTACTTCTACCATTTTGAAAAGTCTACATTTGACAAAGTTTGGAACATCGAACCAGTTAAGTTTGCTATTGTTAAAAAAGTGGTGCAAATTTGAAGACTTAGACATAGAAGGTTTGTTAGCAGTCAAAGAAAATTTTGACAGAAGGTTCTCAAACCTTAAAGAAGGCAAAGCATACAAACTTGTTATACCTTATGAACCAAAGAAAGCAGACGACTATGAATATTATGAGTCTAAGATAGTTGAAGTTCAAGGTAAATTGGGTAAAAAGATTTTAGAGTCTAAGCCAGTGTTTGCCCTAAAGAGGAAGAGAACATTGACATTGACCCAGAAATGTTCTAAAAATAAAATTTTATTTTTACATGTCAAATTTCTTTTTCTCTGGAACTGGTTCAGGTTCTTTCTTCTCTTCTACTTTCTTTTCTCTTTCTTTCTCTTTCTTCTTCTTTTCTGGTGGAGTTATGTCAAATTTGGCGCAACCATATTTATGTAAAAGTTCTTTGTCCTTTAATAGCTCTTCTATTCTGTTTTCTATTTCATCTTCAAGAACAGCGCATGTGTCTTCTTTGCATTCTAAGAACTTTTGTTGGACTTCATCTTTCCAATCGGCGTCATCTCTGTCAACAAGTCTGTCATTGACAAATTTTAAGACTGCTCTTTGTAATGTTTTATGGTTCTTGTCATATTCCCAGAAACAGAACTTTAGAACAAATTCACCTTTCTTGTTTACACTATGTAAGATTTTATGGTCGACAGATGTTTTGAGTCAAAAGTTTGTCTCGAATATAGATAGCGAAATCGCTAGACATTTTCTAAAAGATAAAAATTTTAATTTTTCTAAAAATATGTTAGAAAAAAAGTTTGCTGACATTGACAAGAAATTTGAGAATGTTTTAAAAGAACAAGAGGAAGTTAGAAAATGCTCAGATAAAGCCTATACATGACAAGTTCTTATTTGCTCAGAATGGTATAACAGGTCTAATCGCACCACCTGGGTCGGGTAAGACTTTCACTTATCTTAAAATGGCTGCACAACAACAAGAACTAGATGAGAAGAACCCATTCTATGAGTTAGTTGTTATTTGTAGTACTTCTGGTCAATTTGACCAAACCGTCAATTCGTTCAAAGATATTATAAAGAAGTCTAAGTTAGTATGTATAAAGGATACTGAGTTGTTAGATTGGATAAAGAAGTACCAAAGAAGAGTTTTGAAGTACAATGCTATAAATGAGTATATAAATTCTAAGTTTAAAGACCCAAATGAGGAAATGCAGAGAATATTAGAGAAGAAACACTTCAGAAACAAACAGAAAGAGATAGAATACATTTCGAAGAAATTGCAATCTTACGATTGGAAACTACCCTCATAGATGTCTTCTTATCTTAGATGACTTTGCTTCTCATCCTTGTTAAAGAACAGAGAAAAGATATGTGTCGAATTCTTAAGAAGCTCAGACACTTTAACATCTCAGTCGTAATATGTGTACAGACAGCAAAGAGTTTAAGTAAGGATGTTAAAAGAATACTTACTGACATTATACTTTTCCCCGGATTGTCCGAAGACGATTTCATGGAACTTATGAAAGAGTCCATGGCAGGTAAGTTTACAGACATGAACTATGGGAGAAGTACAAGTCATACAAGACCCTCATACTTCTTTCAGAATTCATATCTACGCAAACAAAGTTCAAATTGTAAAAAGTCAAGCTTGAAAAATAAAGAGTTTTGGCGACCAGGGTTTTTTCACTACTCGCTGTTCTTCTCTCGGTTTTCCGAGGGAAGCAAGCATATGAGGAAATTCATGAAATTTCATACGGAATTCAGCAAAAATAATGTTTATGTTAGAATGTTAGATCTAACATGTTTTCTAACATGTTTTCTAACATAACTATTTACAAGCGTTTTACATGGTATATGTTGCGATGGTTCATGACTCTAAACAATTTCGTAGCTTCTATTTCTTCTGTCAGTATGTCAAAAGTTTTAACGATACCGAAAGTTTCTTTATACTTCTTCTTGACGTCAGATAGAAGGAAATCGTCAGCAGTTGGATAGTTTTTGTTCAGAAATTCTAACATGTTCATTTTATCTTCTGCTGGTTTTTCTGCTTCTTTCTTTAAATCTGCATAGTCGTTTCGCATACGTTCTATCTCTTTGACGGAGTAGTTATATTTCCTCATTGCTGCTTTACATTTTGAACATTGCGGATTCATTTTTGCGTTATATTCTGAAACCTTACCTGCTAAAACAACTAAGGCGTCAATGGTTTTCTTCATCTCGAACATAGCGGGTCTTATTTGTTCGTTCCATACCTTACCCCTACTATCTTTATCTCTTATTTCCCAAACACATTTTGCAACTAATGAAACAAAGTTGTCGTAGGTCTTAAATTCTTCGGATTTGTAAAGGTCAGAGATGTTCTTATATACCATGTCGCAATCTTTGTCCATAACCTTATGGTTGCAATGAAAACCAAGGAATTCATAATTTACCTTTCGTATGAACTTCTTTATTTCTACTGAGTCAGTTGCTTTGACTTCTATTCGTCAAATTCGGGAATGGTTAGTTTTTGTTGTTGGATTTCAGGCAATTTGGGTAAATGGTCAATAATGTCCTGCATTTCATAAAGATACTGTTCATTGTTTCATTCTGTGCGGTACAGTCTAAATTACTTGTTAACAATTCCTGCTTTATCTTCTGGATTTTTGTTTCGAAAGTATATGAAGAAGGAATGAAGTTTTTCATCTCTACTAACATAGATGTTGGATTCATAACTAACGAGTTTGGTGCTGTAGTTGTTTGAACTGTTGTTGTGCCGATTGTTGAAATCATGTCTTTTATACAAAATAAAAAAAATAAATAAAATAAAAAATAAAACTAATTTTATTTTTTATTTCGGGAAAATTCATGAAAATTCAAGAGTTTTAGACCATGTTAGAAAACGTGTTAGAAAACATGTTAGATCTAACATTCTAACATAAATTATATTTTTGGTGTAAATTTCATGAAAATTCAAGAGTTTTAGACCATGTTAGAAAACGTGTTAGAAAACATGTTAGATCTAACATTCTAACATAAACATTATTTTTGCTGAATTCAGCAACAAAATTCAAATTGTAAAAAGTCAAGCTTGAAAAATGTAAGTGTTTAGTCTTAGTAAGATGGTAGCTTCTTAAAGCAAATACCATTGCTGAGTTTTATGTACGTGAAGAGAAGTACAATGAATTCAATTACGAGTACAATTGCAATGACAACTAAGGCAACTATTTTTGTCTTTTGCCAGCAAGGGTACTTCTTCTCTTCCAATGGTTCGGCAGAACTATACTCACTCATGAGAAATGCCAAAACGGTTTAATAGAAAAAGTGTTATTTTTTCATGTCCGAAGACTCGAAGGTGCAACACTTCCAAAATACCGACGAACTCAGAAGAGCAGCATGGCAGTATGTTCTTGACAACTTCTTTGAGTTCTCCAGGCACACCTTGGAAAATGCTGAAGAACTCCGACATAGAGAATTTGGAGAAATTGCACTCCAATACTACATTGACAAACAAAGGGTAAACAAAGGGTAAAATAAGACTAAAAACTTAACGTTTAAAAAGTGACATTTTTATGAGCTCCGAGTCACCGAGAAAACTTGGTCAGATGTTAGCAGCTTACTTCCCTGAGGAGGATGGAAGCGTTACATACGTAAGGTTCAAAAACAACGAACCTGGAATTGCGTACCAAATTCGCAATTACATGACCATGGAAGAGTACGAAAGGTTCCTACAAGAGAAACCAGCTCTAAACAACTCAGAAAAGAAAGAATAAAAAGTTTAACTCGTAATTGTTTATTTTTTTACTTGTATGGGCAAGCTGCAAGAATGAAGTCGACTATCTCAGTCTTTGTCTTGACCAGTTGGACGGCTCTTGCGAGTACGTCTGTTTTGCGGTCTCCAGCTGGTGTCTGACCTTCGTAATTGCGCATGTTCTTGAGAGCTCCAGTTGTAAATGATTGTAGGATGAAGAGTCTCTCAGACTGCTTGAGGTAGTCTTCACGGTCACGAACCGAATCTGTGGTACGAGTCGAATCGGTCGACCTTAGGGAAGAGACTGAAAGCCTGTCGTCTTCCATTGGAGCTGTAGCATACTCTTTGCGTAAGCGGTTCAGACCTTCTTCGAACTCTTGGTCTCTCTTCGATTGGGATTGAGATTGGAATTGCTGGGGTGGAGCTTGCTGGAACATCCAAGGGTTGGGGAAGTAAGGCATAGGCTGAGGAGGGTAGTTCGGGAAGCCTTGTAGTGGAAATTGGTAGTAACCTTGAGGTGGAAATTGGTAGTAATTTGGTGGAGGTACTTGCTGGAACTGAGGTGCAGGGGCTGGTGCTTTAGGTTCTTCTGGCTTGGGAATGGACTCGGTTGGTGGGACGTCGGACATTGTCTTGAAACAGTACAAATATTGTTCTGAAGCAGTGCAAGTCTTGTTCTGAAAAAGTACAAGTATTGTTCTGAAGCAGTACAAGTATTGTTCTGAAGCAGTGCAAGTCTTGTTCTGAAAAAGTACAAGTATTGTTCTGAAGCAGTGCAAGTATTGTTCTGAAAAAGTACAAGTATTGTTCTGAAACAGAAAATTTTTCTCACAAATTGAGAGCTTTTACGGGAAATTTGTTCTGAAAAAGGACAAGTCTTGTTCTGAAAAAGTACAAGTCTTGTTCTGAAAAAGTACAAGTATTGTTCTGAAACAGTACAAGTATTGTTCTGAAAAAGTACAAGACTAGTTCTGAAACAGTACAAGTATTGTACTGAAAAAGTACAAGACTAGTTCTGAAACAGTACAAGTATTGTTCTGAAAAAGTACAAGACTAGTTCTGAAACAGTAGCAATGGACGAGGTCGAGCCATTAGATGAGGCAATTTACCTTATAGAGATAAATGAAGTTGTTAAGCAGTACTTGGGCAAGGACAAAGCCAACAAGTCCCTCGGCTTCTGGTTGTCTGGAAGAGGTGCGCTGAAAATCGAAATTGAAACCGGAATTCCAATTCAAATACCAGAAAAAACTCCTGTAGACGACATAAAGGAGATGAAGAAAGAAGCTCTTCTCAAGTTCTTTGCAAAGCGCCCATGGATACAACTTCCAAACAGAGAGAGTCCAATTCCACGAATTATACAAATTCTCAGAGCACTGTTCCACTTCTCAGGACGGCCGTTCTTCATAACCTCAGAAGGCGACATCCAACCAATTCAGTAAACCTTAACGTTTAGAGTAAAAACATTTTTTTCATTTTTTGAATGAAGCAAGTTAAATTCGTCCCACACCAAACTCAATGGACCGATGAAGAGTTGCAAGCTATGGTTGAAGGTGTTGAGAACGACATAGACGGCGAACTTGAAGGAGCTCAAATCACAATTGCAACCAAAATTGCAGGAGTCAAGGAACAGATAGCTCCACTTAAAGCTACCAAAGCTACTCTTGACCTCATGGATAGTTACCGTTTAGATGTCAAGAGTGGAATAAGACATTTAAAATTAAAACTTCTAAACTACGAAGCTATACTCCAAAAGTTAGCAGAAATGAGAAGACTTTACCAGAGCTACTTACATGTAAGGGACTTACCTTCAAGCAGTCCGACCAAAGATGAATTTTCTGACATTGTCCCAATTTTGTCCGAAAGTCAGCTCAGATGTTTTGAACTGCTCCCAACATATCCAGAATATGAACGTTTGCCTGAACTCTTCCGCAATCTCAAAAAACGTTTTTTGGTTCTCATGTTCGAAACTTTTATCGGAAGAGACAACAAACGTTCAGAAGAAGAACAAGATATTATTTTAAACTTGTTGTATGACATAACTGTCATAACAAGCTTTTTGAAGTAAAACCGTCATTCTCAAACCACTTCATTTTTTCGATGTCCGAACAAGCACCGAAGCCGAACACAATGGCAGATGTCCTTTCAATGTTGCCAGACAAGCGCCCAGTTCAAATTCAAATTTTGAATTTGAAAGCTCATCTGACAAACACCGTTAAGACTCTCCAAAGTAGTCTTATGGAAGAGATGAAGGGACTTAAAGGTGAGTTCCTCATGAACCAAGCTTCCAATGAGAAAGTCCTGAATGATTTAACGGAAACCTTGCGCATTTACGCGAGAGAGAACCGAGACCTTGCCAGACTCATCTACCGTTTCTTCGAAGAGATAGACGCCATCTGGAAGGTACTCGGAAAGGACAGAACATGCAACACCGTAATTCGTGAACACAGAATTGCCGAAGGTATTATCAAAGAAGAGGAAGAAGAGGAAGAAGAGGAAGAAGAGGAAGAAGAGAAACACGAAGAAGAGGAAGTTTGGGCAACCCTTGTTGCCGATGACACTTACGAAATTTCCCAACCCTACCCATACCAAATCCGCAACAAGGAGACAGGCAAGGTTCTTACCCCAGTCCTCAACAACTTGGGACACTTGAACCTTAACCTTCGGAATCGCGGTTCAATCTCCATGGGCAAGCTTGTCGCAATTCAATGGGTTCCAAATCCAGGCAAGAAGACGAAGGTCAGACACATTGACGGTGACAAGCTCAACAACCGTAAGGAGAACCTCGAGTGGTTCTAAGAGTAAAAAAATTTTATTTTAGGGGGAAACCCCAAGTAAATTTAGGTGTTTATTTGGATAAGTATGTGAAATTAAGGTCAATTTGCAAAATTAGTTCCCGACCTTTGAATTGGACTCTTTCGTTCTCCCAGTTGCGTAGGAGGTCGTCCCAGAGGAGTTGGTAGAATTGCCAATCCAAGGACGATTTGTCCTCCCAGGCATTGAGGATGTACTGCTCGTAGAGTCTCATGACCTCTGCCTTGCACCAGACACCCTCTCCCTTGGAACGTAAGGCTTCTTCGAAGTGCTCGAATGCGATTGGCTGCGTGACCATCCGAAATGACACTTTTTGTCCGTTTGGTCAATGTTCGTGTCTCGTGCCATAGTCGACGAAAATACAGACAAACAGGTTATATATGAGTTTGAGACCAAGAATGGTGTAACTCGACCTGTCCGATTCAAAGACTCCGAGGGCGACCATGAAATTAAACGGAAATTACCTAGGAAGGAAATATAAAATGGACTGGTTGCCACCACCTCCACCTCCACCACCTTTACCTGTTCCTCAAGTAAATAAGCCTTTCCCGTTCCCAAGAATTCCCACATTTTAATTCAAATTCGAATAAAAACGTTTTTATTTCATGCAATGTTTTATTTCTGTGCCGTCTTCAAGTATGCCCCAATATTTCCTTTGGAGAGGATATTACATGAACTTCGGTGAAAATTTTGTCCAATTTGAATTGACCCATCTTTTCACCGACCATTCCCATTTCAATGAGTTTGTTATAGCCTTCTTCGTTCGTCATGAGTGCGTCAATGTTCTCATAGTAAACCTTCACTTTGGATTTGACTTCGGAGAAGAATTTGTTGTAGTTGTCAAGGACTGCCTTTGCGAACTGAGGGTAAGACCAATGTTCGACAATAGGTTTTAATGTGGTTACTAAGCCACTTGACCTTGAGTGAATTCGTACTTCAAAACAAAAGGAGAAAACCTTTCAAAGTTGTCGACCTTCTCATAATGTTTACTCTTCATCTCTTGAGGTTTCTTAATGGAATATCCCCATGTCGAATTCATAAGCAATTTGAGTGTCATTGCAAGTTTGGGGTTTGAAGCTTTCCTAATATCATATAGTTGTTGTATGACTTTTCCAACTGTATAGTTCCTTCCCGGGAACTCACCATCTTCGTTTGGAATTCCAGTCGGAATATATTGGACAAACCTCATGTACGCAGCGTTAAGGTCGACATAGTATATCTTTTCGTTTGAGTCGAACTTGTCGCAACCAATTGGTCCAGTTTGTGGAAATTCAAGTGAGTCTCTTATCTTCTGAGAAACTTCTCCTGTTATCTCATAAACATCGTCGAAGCAACCTGTTTCATATAAAACCTTCTGACCTAACTCAGATGCTCTCCAATACAATTTGACGTCAATTGGATGTCTCAATGGAAGTTTATTTATAGCATCTTGAAGTTCTTGCAACCTCATTGGAAGTTCTTCTGGTTCAGGTTGGTATCCGAACAATCCAACTCCTTGTGGAATTGTGTACTTCTTTTGTACTAGAACTTTGTCTGGAACAACTTTTGGTCTTGCTAACAGTGAAAAGTTTGTTTCGTCTTTTGGTACAAAAGTTTCTGTCAGCTTGTCATCTGGAATTGGTTCCAACAAACCTTTCTCGAAAAGAATGTTTACAGCTCTGACAATGTTGCACTTGCCTTTTCCGAACAATGGGTTTGTAAGACTTTCGTTCAACATGAAGTGGTTGTGGACAATTACAATCTTCAACCATGGTAAATTGAACTCAACAACATAGTCGTCATGTGAAGAACCTTTAGCTGTAGGTATGTTGACTCGGATATTGACATTTGCCAACGGTGCAATTTTTGCCAATTGACCTCTGAGAATGTACCTTGTCTTCACACATGACTCAAGATACTTCATCTTCTCATCTGTAACAAGACCAGAGTTCCTGAGACATGTAAGAATACAAGGTTCATTGACAATTGTTTCAATTGAATTGTAAATTCCATACCTTGTCAAGTCAATGTCAGACTTATTTATGAAGGGGAAGTATCCAGCATGTTGTCTGACTGCTTGAGGGTTAGGTTGGTACCATTCGAACTTGACACTTGCAATTCCTTCAATTGCATTCAAAATGTCTGAGTCGGAGTCAACCATTTGTTCTCTCTTTGTAGTCTTGAAAGCGTCAAGAAGTTTTGCGCTGTTTGTTCATTGCCATGTGCATAGTAAATGTGACCATCCAAATCTGTTATGGTCAATCTGATATTGTGTCCTTTCTTATTTCCGTCTTGAATTGCAGCAAGTACTCCCATGAAGCCTTCTTTGTTCTTTCCTTCGTCAAAGTTTACTGTAAAGGTTCGACCAGATGTAATTTGACTTCTAACTTCACGATACTTTCATATGCATATCTTGTTCTTTCCATGGGAGCATGTGCATCTTCACCTTTTCCTTTTTTCCTTCTCAAAGGATGCAATTGTTCGTCATGTTTCCAGTAGAATCTGGCAAAGCCGTCGTGTCCTTCAACTTGAGGTTCACTAACATCGAAAGGCATGTCCATAAGACGTTCTTCTTCTAACCTCTCTAGTCTGTTTGGATAATTGGCACGTGCTGTTTCCAAATCCATTTCGTAGCGAAGACCAGCCAGTTTGTCATAGACTTTTATGGGTCTTCCCTTCCTATATTTAAAATTCTTCGAAACTCTCCAACCATATCTTTGCAACTCTGCTTTTATTCTAGCAGATTTTCTATCCATTCTATATGGGGGCATTTTTATAAAAATAAAAAAAATTTTTTTTCTTTACTTTACATAACCGCCTGCTGCCATAAGTCTTTGACGCCAACCCATACCAGCTAATGAAGGTTGACTTGGTTTAGTTTGGAAACTAAACTTTGGTTTTGGTTTATCTTCAGTTTTTGGTTTTTCTTCTTCTATCGGTTTTTCGTCACTTTTCGGTTCCTCTGACTTTACCTCACCTGCAGGAACAGTTGTGTCGTCAACATCTTCATAAATATCATATGCCATTTGTTTTTGTTTTCCTTTCAACTTTTTGTGTTTGTTGTAAAGTTTAGAATATTTCGACTCTAAGTCAATGAGATGTTCTATAATGAACTGTTGGTCAGTGAAGTAAACTTTTCCATCTGTTGTCTCGAAAGCTCCTTCAGACTTCAATATTTTATTTGTGAGAGTCTGTTTCTTTTTTGAGATACTAGCCGTTCCATTTCTATGAAAAGTGACTTTGTAGTTAGGGTTTGTATTTCCAGACCTGGCACTTTCTATTATTGAATTTTTCTCTTCATCTGTAAGTTCTTTGACAGGTTTTGACAATGGTTCTGAACTTTTTGTTTGTGGTGTCAAATCTACCGTTTCAACTTCTTCGGTCATTTCATCTCAGTAAAAAATTTTAGTTTGGTTTGTTTTCAACTGGTTGTTGTTGTTTTTTAAGTCGGTCTAAAACTTCCTGAGGTATAGGAAGAACTTGACAAACACGTGGTGTAACTGCTGGAAGTCGACAAATCCATCTTGAACCCATTTGTCTCAATGCTGTATTGTTCATTTCATCTCGGTAAAAAATTTTACATTCCCCAAGTTTGAGGCGGTTGAGGTTGGTTATTGTTTACCCATTGTTGTGCATGGTTATATCCTCTGTTAAAGAATCTTTCACCTTGGTCCATATAGTGTCCTGCTTGGTTATAGTAGTCATTTGCTTTGTTATAATAGTTTCCTGCTTGTCTTCCTACATTGTCCATCCATCCTTGAACTTTTCCTCTTGTTTCAGGATTTGGAATAAGATTTGCTGCATCTCGTGCTACATCCCAACCTTTCTGTACAGTTTGTATAATAGGTTGTGCTTTCTCTTTAAGTATATCTAATGTACTCAAAATCTTCCTTCCAATTCCAAATGCACCTCTAGCTATTGTTCCCACTGCGGGTAAAAATCTGGATGCAACTCCTGCTAATGCGCCAAATAAACCCATTTCTTATAGGGTAAAAAATGACGAATCCAAACAAGGACCCCTATGTTTCTAAAGCGACAAAGAAAGCACTCATGATAAAAATCTTTAGTTCAACACCAAATGCTTGGTTTATGGATATCTTGGAAAACATTCCGAGGTATAGAGAAGATGGACCACCATACTGGTTAATATTTGTTGGTCAAAACACAAGATACTGTGAAGCCATACCATTATGGTCCAAAAATATTTTAGATGTGAAAACTGCTTTGACAATATTCGTTGACAAATACCATCCAACAAAACTGACATCTGACTGTGAAAGTTCTTTCAAATCAGATGATATTAAAAACTATCTGCGTTCAAAAAATGTAAACCAATATTTCATTGTCGACCAAAACCATTCTGCTCTTGGTGTCATTGACGGTTGTATAAAAATGTTAAGAGACTTAAACCAACCACAAGGTGGTGAAGCAAATGAAATGTCATATGACGACAAATATAGACACTTCTCCATGGCAAAGATGAGACAAGTTTTAAATATTTACAATAACCGTAAACAAAAAGGTTTGGGAAACCACTCCCCCGAAGAAATGAAAAACAACCCTGACTTAGAGAAAGACTATATATTTAATAATTTAGTCAAAAGAGACAAACAAGAAAGAATGCCCGGCTTCAAACTTCAGAAAGGTGACAAAGTAAAAATAGAAATACCTAAACGCGACCCATATGAAAATACTATTGACTATGACAACAATGGGAACTCGACAGGTACTCACATTCGTGTTCGTAAAAATAGAAGAAAGTATACAAGAGAATATTATGAAGTTTTAGGCAAACATGGCAAAATGTACACACTGCAAGCAGAAGATAAAACTACTATTGTCAGACCTCGTTTCAAACTTGTCAAAGTTCAAGGTGGTATACTTTCAAAGACAGTTCCTAACAAATATAAGACAACTCCTGACGAATATGCTAAAGAAGTTGAAAATGACGACTAAGCAATTCTATACCATGCGTAAACTGTCATGTAAGGTGGCATGTATTCTTTACTTTGTCCCGTTGTTTGCGTATATCCTGAAACGTGATGTGTATGGTCTCCTTCTCCCCAAGTGTCATCCCAGTAACAATTTATAGCAAACTTAACGTCGTCTTTAACATCATATCCTTTACCTTTTGTCATTCCTGACCAATCCCAATATCTATGCTTATGCCAACCTTCTTGAGATGTCCTTAAATTTACGTAGTGACTATGTGCAGGTAGATTTTCACCTGAAATCGTTTTACTTCCTCCTGTTTCCTTTGAAGAGTTTGCACAATACAAAAACCTGTCAACTATTTGTTCCCATGCACCAACACCAAACATTGCTTGAGGACCTCTCGCATCCATAGATGTATAAATAGAACCTACTGGGTTCATTAAATCAAACATATGAGATAATATAGGATTGTCTCTTTTGAACTTAAAATATAGTGCAACCATTTCAGGTTTCTTCTGGTTTGTGTCGGAATATTTTTTATAATATAATCTTATGTTTTCAGGGTAGGTAAAATCTTGACTATAATATTTATTTTTGTCATCTATATAATAATATACTATTCTCGTTTTTTCTATTGCATTATATCTTTTATATCTATAATAATCTAAATATAATGTTAACTTTTGTTCATTTGCATGTAGTGCTCCGCCGTCATATCCATAGTCATAATAATATGGTATTGGAGCTGGGTCAGGCAATGTCATATCTGCCATTTCATAAACTCTTAAATATTTCGTTTGTTCGTCTCCATATAAGTTTAAGTAGCAGTTGTTGTCTAATGGAACTTTAACTTGTGTACCATCATTCTTTATATAGCTTACATACATTTCATTGTTATTTTTCGGAATGAGTTTATACCGTGTACCATTTCTTAAGGAATGTACAAACTGCCATCTAAAATATTTATTTTCTTCATCGACAGAAAAGTCGCCAACAATAGTTTCAATATTTTTTGTTGTTCCTATCAAACTTTGGTATATTTCGTTAACATATGTTTTATCTGCTTTATTTTCAAGGCTAACGTTTAAGTCTGTTATTTCAGAAGATGTATGTGTATGAGTCTTATCTGCTTTTGTCTCTAATGTTTCCTTAAGACTTGGTATTTGGTTAATATAATGTATATGAGTCTTTTTAGAATATTCGTTTTCAGCTCTTGTCACTTCACTTGACATTTTATTGTCAACATATGTTTTGTCTGCTAGTTCAGGATGAGTATGTTCTTTTGTTGCATAAGCATTGTTAGCTCTTTCTTCTTCTTTTGCTATTGCATCGTCTACATATTCTTTGTCAGCTTTGTTGTCAACATCTGCTTTCAAAAGAAGTTCATTTATAGGTTTCTCGTTTAAAGTTCCTTTTGTTGGATTTATACAGACAGTATGGTTCTTATTGTCTTGAAATAGAAACTCATCTGTCATTGGGTTTATTGTCAGTTTTAAGTTTCCTTCTTTCAATGACTCAGATATCTTAGAATAGTTTGAAAAGTTTGTTGTGTTCTTATTTAGAGCTTGCATATATGAGTTGTCGGTTGTGTTGTATTTCTCTCATAGACGCTGTTTCATTTGACATTTTTATTCTAGATAAAATATGCTTCCAATAGAAAAAGAAAATTCAAGAGTTGCTACAACTAAACCATTAGATGAACTTTTTACTAATGTCGGTCAAAAGTTTGAGACAGAGACCGTAAAGCATGAAGGCTATCGTTTTGACTACCCATTAAGATGGTTAAGAGACCCATCTGTCACAAAAGCTATTGGCTTTCGTAGAATGAAGTTTGTGTCTGTAGAAGATAAAAGTTTTCCATTTATTGTAAAGTTTCATATAGATATATATCTGAAGGGAAACGAAAATGTGGGAAGAAATTGAGCTAATACAAGTTGACCTTTCATCTTCTCTACAGACTGCGTTAAAAAAATAGAAGATAAAAAAATTCATGTTATGCAAAATATGCTGATGAATATGCAAATACCGAGAGCACACTTTATGTGAGAATTGTATATGACAAACAAAATTCACAAGTGTCATTTCAAATCTACGAAAACAATCCAAATAAAGACGAACAAATATATACAGAATTCACTGCAATGTCATGGTATTATTTGCAAAGAATGTTAAATCAGAAAGTCGAACTTCCTTTAGCAAATATTTACAGTCGATATGCAAGAGATGAACCATATTTATTTAAAGATGTTTTCGACCAAGATGCTATTATTGTTCATGCTTCATTTTCTGGCGCCCAAAACTCTTTCTTATGCTTGGCAAATGACTTTTACGAAAAACCTACAAAGTTATATGAACCGCCGAGTGGAAGTATTTCAGACTTTCAAGTATGGTTTACTACAGATGGAAGAAAAGAATAATTCCATTATACTATGCGTTTTACTTAGAACTTAGTTTCATATACAACTACTATCGAACGGTAAAAATATAATTTTTTAATACGGTTGAGGTGTTGGATTTGGTTGCCAACTAGACTGTGGTGCAGGTTCAGGCTGTTGTATAACAGGAGCTTGTTCTTCTGGTTCAGGGTCTTTAGGTATAATACCAACGAACTGACCTACTCTTTTACCAATATTTTTGACACCGTTCCAAATTCCTTTTCCGACAGATTTTATTCCATTCCATATACCTCTTCCAACATTTCGAAAGAAGTTTCCTATTCTTCCAAAGAAACCCATTTTACTATATGTAAAAATCTAATGTCCGCCTAGTCTCTTACGTTTCCTGTTGAGTTCCATAGCATTCTTTAACTGGAGCTCATACATTCTGTTTCTCCTCTGGTAGAAAACATATTCTGGGTCAACTCCTGTGTTCGCGTCATCTGCATAAAGTTGTTTATATCCCACTTCAGGGTTTGTATAAAACTCTTTCCATCTCATATTTGCATACCATGGTGGCAAACCTAACGCAGCGTCATTTGACATGGCAGTTTGCATTTGTACATCTGTTGGCACTTGACCATAGTTTGCCATTGCAGTTTGTATTCTAACTTCATTTGGAATATTCTCTGGGTTTGGTTGTCCAGGTTGCTGTGCATTCGCTAAGTTCTGTGCGTCCATTTAATATTAGATAAAAATATCTCTTACGAGTACATATGCTGAACATTTGCAGGCATTGGTTCATCTTCATATTCTCTGTACTTTTCTGCCACGTCAAATAAATAAATGACACAATGGAAAAAACCTAAAACAAGTAGTCCTATTTCAAACCACATTTACTTACTAATAAAATTTCTTTATTGTGACACTTTCTCCAGTTTATAGGACCTCTCTCATATTCTATCTTGTCATATATAAACTCATAGTCATGTATGTCCTCTAACCATCTCATAACGGTTTCCAAACCACTTTTATCGGATGTAAAGTAAAAGCATGGATGGTTATGTATAACGTCTAAAGTTTCTAAAGAGTCTCTCAAAGTCCAGTCTACTTGGTATTGAAAATCCCATGTGTTATAGAACGGTGGGTCCACTATAAAGAAAACATTTTCCTTGTCTTTATATTTTTCATACAAATCTGTCCAATGACATCTCACAAACTCTATACCCTCAATATATTTTTCTATGTTCTCTTTGAAAACATTTGTATAGTTGAGATATAAAACTTTTGACATAAGTGTTTCAATGTCATGAACTCTTATAGCACCACTATATAATAGTCTAGCAGATATACTATTCCAGTCTATATATTCTGCTTTTTTCAAAACCTCTCTCACAATATTTTTCTTATCTAATGGTATACGTTCCATCTTACCTATAGGTATCTTTTCTTTTAACTCTTTCAATATATTGTTTGTGTCTGGAATATGTTTGAGACGGTCCATATAGTTGTCGAAGTCATTGCATATAATCTTTGAGTCTGGGAATACGGTATGACATAAATGGGATATATAGAAACTTCCACCGAACAAATCTACAAATGTTAGACCATTCGGTAGTTTCTTAAGTTCTCTCAATATAATATCTTTACATCTACTCTTATTTCCAAAGAACGGTAACGGTGGTTTTGTAAAATTCATTTATATATAATAATAAAAATGTTTTTACCTGAAAAGTGACAGAAAAGTGACAAAACATGAAAACATATATAATTTGTGAAAAGTGAAACATTATATAATGTTTTCGACCCAGAAGCAATAGAGGAAGAAGAAGAGTCCTCCGAATTCACACCAGAAGACTAACAATTTTCCGAATAAAAACTTCAATTATACTAAACATCTTCAGGGCTAGAAGGCACGAAGTGCCTGGAAGCCCCACTACCTTTTTTTTTTTTTTTTTTTTTTTTTGTTGGATGCGGGATCCTGTTATTTCCGAAATCGACAAAAAATTTGGAAATTTAATTTCCGAAATCGAAATTATATTAATGTTTTTAATATTCTTATATCAAAAGGATTAAAGTTCATTAAGAGAAAAACAATTCTTCTTCTTCAATCTATTGGCGCATTTATTTCTACACGCCAATAAGGAAGGGAAAATTATAAGACACCATGGTGTCTTCAAAACGCTAATTTTTGATATTTTTAACAACCCTAATTCTTGATTATTTGGGAGATTATTGATAGCGAATTATTTAATAGGCAGATTTTCTAAGGAAATTGTTTTATTTCAAAATTTGAAAACAACCCATTAGTTGAGTCGCCGAGAGAAGCTTATGTCCTAGCCTTTATTATATGAATATAAATTGATTTATCATATTTCTTTCAAAATGAATTTGAATATGACTGAATTGAATGTCTTTTAATGTGAGTTCATTTTTCATTTTCATGATTGCTCTTCTGTTACTTGGATACAGGAACTTGACCATCAGTGAGCAGCGTGCCATCATGGCCGAGAGCGAGATATATGATCTCAATGTCTACAAGGCCTTTTTGGAATGCAAAAACTTCGCTAAAATGTTCATGAGCCCAATTGTTAACAAAATTGGTTACATCAACTTCGATTTTAAGTTTTGACAATGAAAATAAGC